ACAGTCCAGAGATCACTGGTCCAGTCTGGGCCGGGTCACACTGTAACCCTACAGTCCAGAGGTCACTGGTCCAGTCTGGGCCAGGTCACACTGTAACCCTACAGTCCAGAGGTCACCGGTCCAGTCTGGACGAGTGAGAGAGCCCTGTGTACGTGGGCATTTCTTTCCTCTCCAGAGAGTCCAGCGTGCTCTGGGAAGGCAGTAGAGGTGTTTGTGCTGCCCTTCAGTCATTTACAGTGCATCGATTTAAAGCGATATCCGTTTACAAGGGGGTCAGACGCTGGGGGTTGGGGGGTAGAGTTGTTTGTACTGCCCTCTTGAAAAGCTGGGCAAGTTGTACATACTGTAATATAGGAGGCTGAAACCCAGCTACTGTTACCAAAAAAATGGTCTGTAATGCCAGAACTGCGTCCCAATGAAGAAGATACAGATCCTCTGTCTCCTAGGTCCAGTGTATATAGAAAAAGAACATTCCTTTCTAATGATCACAGTGATGCCGTCATTCCAATTAAAGTTGGCCTGTAGGGGGCGTGCTCTGGTCGGCAGGCGGGATTCGGGCTTGAGGCAGGCCAGCACCGGTTCTGTCTGGGGCTGTCGGAACGTTTCAGGGTTCCAGGGAATCCGAGGGCACGGCACTGGCACACCCCGAAGAGCAGGGTCACCTCGGCGCGTCTTTTCTCCCTCACAAGAGCACTCTGGTGTATCGGCGCACTCAGACTCTCCTCGGGCTTCAGCCGCGGTGCTCAGAGAGAGGAGGGCGGTAGGCAAGCACGCCGTCCCCCATCGCCTCGTTCTTTTAAAATGCAGAATCGCTAGTTGCTGATCTATATCCCCACCCGATTTGGGAAGCGCCGTGTCTCAGCTCGCAGCTACGAACCCTGTGTCTGCACACGGGAGAGAGTGAAGAAGTGCAGGCAGGCACCTCCCACCCACCTGCCCCCCAGCCAATCGTCTTTTAACACGTCCCAGGCAGTACCGCCCCCCAGTCAAGGTGCCAGCTCTGATTGGAGGACAGACATGTCTCTCACTGACAGCACTTGCTTGCAAATTCCCACCAGGCCACAGGGGGCACTGTGTCACCAAGAGGCTGACTGATCTCTCCCTGCCCTCATTCATTCCGCTACGTGGGGAATTCTGGCCTGGGGCTCCTCCCATCGCCGGCATTACCCTCAGAGCTTTCTTCCACAAGATATCCATTCAGGAAGATATCAGCCGCCACCACCCATCACGCTCGAACCCCTGTCCAGCTCCAGCTGAGTGGGCTCTCTCTTTCGTTTCCTGTGGGATGCAGAGAGCCCACACTTTCCCCTTCAACTCCCTTTCATTCCCGTTAGGAAGGGGGAAAAGAGGAGATCGGCTCCCAGGAACGGGGGTGTGGGGGGCGTTTTCATGTTTCACTTTCTTATCTCTTGTTTGGGAGGGGGGACAGGAGGCCCGTCCCCCCCACCCCACCCCTCGGGAAACGTCACTCCCGTCTGCTCGCTTGTACAGCTGAACAAACTGAAACACAGAACTGGGAAAACTGGAGAACGGAAAATGACTTAAATAACTCCATATCAATGATAATTCCAAGTAAATAACTTCTATGTGGAAATAAATGATAAAAACGTAACCTGAACTGTGTTTAAACTTGCATAATGCCATAAAGTCTATGCTGATATATTACACTAATGCTAACTGTATGTTGAATTTGTTAAAACACATTGTGCAAATAAAGACTGATACACCCAGAGCCCTGCAGTGTCACTGCTTTCTCCTTGACGAGCCCAGATGTGCGTCCTGCCCTGCAAACAGCTGGAGCTGTCCCTAACCCTAACGCCCACAATACTTAGTGACACACTAATGCCTCAATATTAAGTAACATGCTGACACCCCAATATTTAGTGACACGTTAACCCCCCCTTTAGACTAAGGTGAAGGGTGACCATCTTCCCTCTCAGAAGACCTGCTCGTCAGCACTGTGACTCCTCCTCTCTCTCAGCACCTGCATTTAAAACCGACGACAGGAGGCACTTTACCCAGAGGGTGGTGAGGGTGGCACCAGCTGCCCGGCCATGGTGTTGAAGCCGATACCCCAGATCCTTCGAGACACAGCCGGATGACATCCTGGGATTAATGAACTACTGAGCAACCAAACTGGCCAAGTGGCTCCCCTAGGCTGTAACCTTTCTGATGTTCCAGGGACAAGCACACAGGCAGGTAGACAGACAGACAAGCCTGTATTGACAGACTGAGATAAACACAGAGACCGATAGATAAGGTTGTAATAACAGGCTGAGACTGAGAAACAAACAGGAATGGAGAGACAGGCGCACAGACAGATAGACAAGCATGGATTGACAGATTTACACAGATAAACACAGACAGACAAGTATGGATCGTCAGGCTGAGACAGACACACACAGACACACAGCTCCCCCAGTTTGGAAACCCCTCCCACGCCCGCTCTCCTGCAAACGACAGACACCAAGCGGCTCCCCAGCCGGGCGAGCCCCGGAGCCGCCGATGACGGATTTCGAGTCAGCCCCGATCTGGGGCCTCCCTTTCCGGGGTTGCAGAACCGGGCGGGCGCTAAGACCCGGAACATGCTCTGCCCATCTCTCTCTCTGTGTGTTTACTGCTTGGGGCTCCCTGTGCCTGGAGTGTCGCGGTCGACTTGCTTTTCTGGAAACACGACAGTAATTACCAATTAAGAAACAGCTCACAGAGATCAGGAGCATGAGGCAGAGGGATCAGTAGTCCGGGTAAGAGTTTACGGATTTGGCATGCACACGTTTTTAAAAGAAACCTTGCTGTAGCCCGGGCTACAAGAAAGTTTCACTGAACCTCCCTTCTCACAGTTGACGCGGGAGAGAGCTGCGACAAACTTCGCGCATCTGAACAACCTACATGTTTTTGTAGGGTAGATCTTAACATCTTTGTATTGCGATTAATGTGCCATCAGAGAACGGTAAACGACCGCGGTTACGCGTTTTTTTTTTAAATGTTTTTGTAAACTGTTGGTAGTTCCTCGATGAAGTTTTCACAGTCTCTCTTAAAAGGTTAGATTTGTCCTTGAAACTAAAAAAAAAAACCAACTCATCGGTTTCTGTCAGTTGACGTCAAGAGTAACCGATACGAAGTGGTATTGTGCCCAATATCTTATAACAAAATGCGATCTTTAAATATACAGCTAAACACGAAATAGTTCCGAGAACGTGCGAACACGCAATGACGTGTCGTATTTAAACCATCCCCTTTTCTAAACAAAAAAAAACCGTCTGTAAGTAATTTAAATCGTAAGTTTTCAATACAGTTCACCAAAACACCTCGGATGTTTTCAATAATTAAACAGTTTGCTGAAAATAAATGTGGTTTCTCGTTGTTTTGTAAAACATACACGGATTGTCTTTGAATTTAAAGGTATTTTTTCTGGCTTTACTACACTCGGCGTTTTTCTTTAGTGTTGTGAGAACAGAAACCGCTTTTCAACTTCGAAAATAACTGTGGTAACTCGCTTCTGTGCAGCCATTCTGTCGACCCTTTACTGTTGTTCAAATGTATTTTAACAGTGCGGGTGAGACCGGTTATTTTCGTCAGCTCGAAATAAACTGTACATATTTATAGTTTAGCGTGAAAAGACAAAAGGAAGTAAAACTGCCAATTCCACATCATGAGCACATTTGTTAAATCGTGTGACTAATCTATAAATGATGTATGAAGGCCTAACGCTTGTCCCAAGCCTCGGGAATTTCCTAGGTCTAAAGTCCGAAGCGTGGTTCTTTAGCGATGGTAAAATTGGAGAACATCCGCCGGGCGAAGGGAGCATTCCAGTTTTTCCTCCCCTCACCCAGAACGTAACATAACACAGACAACTGCTGTTAAATTTAAAATCAGCAACTAAATGACACGGAACCTGATTAATTAGTTATGGTAAAGACGGTACGGTAGATGCATTTTTTTATTGGAACAGGCTTGTGAGGAATCATAAAGGAGAGACGTAATACCAAAGTGACGCAGTATGTAAATCTTTCGCCTTATGCTTTATAAGCAAATCAGGCAGAGTACATTCAGGAACATGGTTACCTGCTTCTCACAGGGTACCTGTCGGACAGGTGTTGCATTAGCCAGTTACCAGAGGAAGCTTTCAGCTCATCTGCTTCTGCTCCATCTGCTTGGGTGCTCAGTAGCAAATCGGTCCCAAGATTTCGTCCGGCTGTTCCTTGAACAAAGCCTTGATATGGGCTGTGACAACATGGCTGAACAGCCTGTTCCAGACCCCCGCTGCTCTTTGAGTACAGTAGTACCTC